GGGGGGAGGGAAATCTGCTGGCCTCCATCGATATCAAGGATGTCTACCACTCATCAGTGGTATCTTCGTTTCGCGGTGGGGGAGGACTATTTTCAATTTGTGGCGCTGCCTTTCGGGCTGGCGTCGGCCCCGCGAGTGTTCACAAAGGTGTTTGCCCCCACCCTGGTGCTGTTGCGTTGTCGGGGGGTCATTACGGTCTAATTTTAGGCCTTTCCCGCTCTGTATCTGTTGCCTCGGCTTCTGCGTCGGATCCTGACCGAGGGCGTCACCGTCGTCCTCGTGGCCCCGGACTGGCCTCGGAGGGCGTGGTACGTGGACATGGTTCAGCAGGTGGTGGACGCCCCGTGGCGGCTCCCTCTGCTTCACGATCTTCTGTCCCAGGGACCTGTGTTCCATCCTTTTTTACAGTCGCTGGCTTTGACGGCTGAAGGACTGGGGGTTGTCCGATGCGGTCATTTCCACGATGCTTAGGAGCGCGCAAAGCGGTCTCTCGTAAGGTTTACCATCGCACGTGGAGGGCCTATTTTGCCTGGTGTGAGGCCTCTGCCTCTGTCCCCGCGCTGGTTTTCCATCGACAGACTTCTTGCAGCATGGGGTGGCTTAAGGGCTGGCCTTGAGTACTGTGAAGGGCCAAATATCTGCTTTGGCAGTGCTTTTCCAGCGGCCTTTGGCGTCTTAACGCTCTGGTTCGCACTTTTGTCCAGGGGGTTACGCGCATTGCTCCCCCTGTACGCTCGCCTTTTGGCTCCATGGGATCTGAATCTGGTGCTTTCTGTGTTGCAGGACTCTGCATTTGAGCCTCTTCGGGAGATTCCGCTTATGTCCTTGTCGCAAAAGGTGGCCTTTTTGGTGGCCATCACTTCCGTGCGGTCGGGTGTCGGAATTGGCTGCCTTTCTGCGGTTCTCCGGCTTTCCTGCCTAAGGTTGTGTCGGCATTCCATCTGAATGAGGACATTGTCTTACCTTCCCTGTGCCCAAAGCCGGTTCATAGGAAGGAACGTGCGCTCCACAGTTTGGATGTGGTTCGCGCTCTTCGTGTTTATTTGGAAGCTACGGCTTCTTTTCGTGAGACGGAATCCTTGTTTGTGCTCACCGAGGGCCCTCGTAAGGGCCGGGCTGCGTCGGCGGCTACCATCTCTCGGTGGATTCGCAATGTGGTTATTCAGGCGTACGCCGTTAAAG